GAGTGGCTCACACCTGTAATCCTAGCATTTTGGGAGGCCAAGGCAAGAGGATCACTATAGCTCAAGAATTCAAGACCAGCCTGAGCAAGAGCAGCTTCATGATGTGTGCCTATAGTATATACCAGCATTTGGAGGCTGAGGCAGGAGGCTCCCTTGAGCCCAGAAGTTTGAGGTTGCAGTAAGCTATGATAACCTCACTGCTCTATGGGAATGACAGAGTGAGACTCTGTCTTTAAAAAAATGTGGGGATCTGGCCAGGCTCACACCTGTAATCCCAGCACTTGGGAAGCCAAGGCAGGTGGATTATCTGAGATCACAGGTTCTAGACCAGCCTGAGTCAGAGTGAAACCTCATCTCTAAAAAATACCCAGGTGTTGTGGTGGTTGCCTGTAGTCCCAGCTATTTGGGAGGCTGAGGCAAAAGAATTACTTGAACTCAACAGTTTGAGGTTTCTGTGAACTAAGATGACACAGCACTCTACCAAGGGTTATCAATTGAGATTCTGTCTCAATAAAAAAAAAAGGGGGCAGTGCCTGTGGCTCAGTGAGTAGGGTGCTGGCCCCATATACTGAAGGTGGTGGGTTCAAACCTGACCCCGGCCAAACTACAACCAAAAAATAGCCCGGCATTATGATGGGTGCCTATAGTCCTAGCTACTTGGGAGGCTGAGGCAAGAGAATCGCTTAGGCCCAGGAGTTGGAGGTTGCTGTGAGCTGTGTGATGCCATGGGACTCTACCAAGGGCAACAAAGTAAGACTCTGTCTCTATGAAAAAAATAAAAAATAAAATAAAATGTGAATCTGAATGAAGGGTATTCTTGCTATACTTCTATACATTTGAAATTACTTAAAAATAAAAATCTTTTTTTTTTTGAGTCTCACTCTGTTGCCCCAGGCTAAAGTGCTCTGGCCTCCTAGAGTACTGGGATTATAGGCATGAGCCACTGCATCTGGCCTTTGGAAATAAAATTTTTCTTACAAAATGGAGCAGACATAGTGCTCAGTAGGTACCAGGTATTTTACATAGTTAATCCATTGATTCAACATCACAACTACTATTAGAGCATGCCTATGTTGCAGAAGAGGAAACTAAGGCATAAAGATGTTAGGAGACAGGCAGTGCCCATAGCTCAGTGGGTAGGGCACCAGCCACATACAGTGAGACTGGTGGGTTTGAACCCAGTCTGGGCCTGCTAAACAGCAATGACAACAACAACAAAACAGCTGGGCATTGTGGTAGGTGCCTATAGTCCCAGCGATTTGGGAGATTGAGGCAAGAGAATAGCTTAAGCTCATGAGTTTGAGGATGCTGTGAACTATCATACCAGGGCAACAGCTTGAGACTGTCTCAAAAAAAAAAAAAGATATTAGGAGACTTGCCATAGGAACAGAGAGCTGGTAATGACAGCCCTAGGGCATAAACCCAGCCTCTCTGCCCTTAACCTCAGTGGGGAAAATGGAAACATTGGTCACAAAATGTTTTTGCATCCATTATCTCATTTGATCCTTTCAACCACACCCAGAAGTACTTAAATCCCATCAACCCCATTTATCTCATTAGAAATTTAGGACTCAGAAAAGTCAAATAACTGGCCCAAAGTGCTTAGCTCCTGGGATGCCATCACAGTATGGTAACAGTTACATGCTGCTTGCAGGAGTCAGATGGTATATTGTGTCCCATACATCAATTCTCTCAGCTTGGCGCCTGTAGCTCAACCACTAGGATGCCAGCTACATATACTGGAGCTGGTGGGTTCAAATCCAGCCCAGATCTGCCAAACAACAATGACAACTACAACCAAAAACTAGCTGGGCGTTGTGGCAGGCACCTATAGTCCCAGCTACTTGGGAGGCTGAGGCAAGAGAATTGCTTAAGCCCAAGAGTTTGAGGTTGCTGTGAGCTGTGAGCTGTGACACCACAGCACTCTACCCAGGGCAACATAGTGAGACTTCTGTCTCAAAAAAGAAAAAAGAAAGAAAACATCAATTCTCTCAACAATAACACAAGAAAAGGATAATAACCTCATTTTAGAGGTGAAGAAATTGAAGGTAAGAGGGTAAATAATTCCCTCAAAATCCTAAACTTTGGGTGGCACCTGTGGCTCAAGAAGTAGGGCATCAGCCCCATATACCGGAGGTGGCAGGTTCAAACCTGGCCGCAGCCCAAAAAAAAAAAAAAAAAATCCTAAACTCAATTTTAAAAAATTGCAACAATAATAAATAAATATATAAACCAAACCAATCAGAGCTAGGATTTGAACCCTGGGCTCTCTTCTAACTTCAGATCCTTCACTTGACCTCTTCCTCCATTTCTCAAATCCTTGCTAACATCTAGAAGGGAAAGTTAGCTAATGAGCTGCAATATGGCAAAGTAAATCAGCTCTCCTATAGATTTCCTCTTTATCAAATCCAAGTGAGGGCTCTACAGCAAAAAAGGCTGATATAAGAAGAAAGGAAAGACCACCCAACTGCCAAGTAGCTGGATGGTGCTAGGACAAGAAGCACAGAATTCTTTTAGTTCTGTGGTCTAAGGACAGGAGATCAACCAGGCTGGAGAAAGAGGAATGGTCTGCATGACCTTAACAATAATAATAGCTAATACACCCTACCAGACTCTCTGCTAAGTACTATACAGTCTTATTAGGTTGAAGCTTCACAATATGATAGTTTTCAGAGAAGAAAACTTAAGGCTAGAGCAGATTAAGTCATATAATTAGGAAGCAGCAGAGAAGGGATTTAAATCCGAGCAGCCCAACTCCAAGGAACTCTTTTTAAACCATGCTGTTCCCACCAAGCTCAGGCTCCTGCACTCACCTTGGGAGAAGTTATCTTGATGTAAACAATGATGGGGGCCAGTGAGGTCTTGGACAGCTGGGCTGGGTGGTTGATGGTGTCAGCATCCAGAGCAACCAACTGAAGGGTCCGGGCCAACTCAAAGATTCGCTCAATCTCACTCTGCACCTCAGCTGGGGGCACGGAGTCATGAGGAGGGGGAAATGTAAGGTGGCGTCCAGGAGGCAGCATGTGGAGGGACACTTTACTTTTGGAGACAGGCCACCCACTACCTCCCACCCTTCCCACATCTGGCCCAGAAAGAGGGGGTGAAGAAGGCAGGGATGGGCTCACCCAGGCTGGAGCGCGTGTTGGAGCGCTCGATGATAATGTGCTTGCTGGGGTTGTTGAGGACTGAGCGCTTAGCCAGGGAAATGTCTGCTGTCACACGGGTAATGGAGATCCTGAGGGACAGAGGCAGTTAGGGGTTGGGGTGAGCCCACTCCCCGACTCCAGGATGCCTCCTGTCCCTCAGTCAAGAGCCTAGGACTGGCTGTGAGCGGTGGCTCATGCCTGTAATACTAGCATTCTGGGAGGCCAAGGTGGGTGTATTGCTTGAGCTCAGGAGTTCAAGACCAGCTTGAGCAAAAGTGAGACCTTCTCTCTACCAAAAACAGAAAAACTAGCCAGGCATTGTGGTAGGTACCTGTAGTCCCACACACTTGGGAGGCTGAGGCAAGAAAATAGCTTAAGCCCAACAGATTGAGGTTGCTGTGAGCTATGACACCACTGGCACTCTACCCAAGGGCCACAAAATGAGACTCTATCTCAAAAAAAAAAAAAAAGAAAACAAAGAGGGCCAGGTGAGCATGGCTCACGCCTGTAATCCTAGCACTTGGGAGGCCAAGGTGGGTGAACTGCCTGAGCTCACAAGTTTGAGATCAGCCTGAGCAAAAGTAAGACCCTGTCTCTAAAAAACAGCCGGGCATTATGGCAGGCACCCATAATCCCAGCATCTTAAGGAGACTGAGACAAGAGAATCGCTTGAGCCCAAGAGTTTGAGGTTGCTGTGAGCTGTGATGCCACAATACTCTACCAAGGGCAACAAAGTGAGACTCTGTCTCAAAAAAAAAAAGAGTCCTAGGATTGTCATTCAAGGCATCCTACCCAGATCCAGCAGCAGACAACCCTGGTGGGAGTGGGAGCAGTTCTTAGAGTCCTACCTGCCATCAAACCGATGCTTCAAGAAGTCAAATAAAGCTTTCTGCATCATGTCTGTAACCTGGGATTGAGGGTCAGGAGAGGGAGAGAAGAGAAGTCAGGCATTTAAAGTCACTCAGGAGGTTGGGTTTCTGGGTACATGCGCCCTCATGGACCACTTGCTTCTGAAAATCCCAAGAAGAATGGGCTTCTACACAGATGAGGGGGCTCCTTCCAGATCTGAGGGGCCTCCAGTGCAGTCTGATTCCAAAGGCCTTTCAAGGTGGTATCTCTGGGAGGGCTCTTCCGGGGCTCTCTCTAGGGGATGGGTCCTTCTGAGTGGGTCTCTCTGTGAGATGGGCCATCTGGGGATTTTCTGTAGCCCTCTGGGGAGGATACCCTGGGAATCTGGATGCTTCTGGGGGGGTTTCCCTGGAGTCTGAAGACCTTTCTATGGAGTCTCTCCAAAAGCCTGGGCCTCTTTGGATCCAGGGATTCTTACCTCGTAGCCCTTAAGCGACGGTCCCACCAGGATGATGGGCCTCATAGAAGGCACCACGTCATAGGGGGGCACATGCTCTGCCTGGGGGAAGCAGGGAGGGGAACCCCAGAGTGGAGGTGGCATCAGCTCCTGCCCCCCTGCCTCAGGCTCCCCCATGCATCCTGTCCTCCCCCGGTCCCAGAGCCCGGATATAAGAATCAGGGTGCGGGTGGGAAGGGTTGCCCAGGGAGAGCCAGGAGGGATGGGGGAAATGGGGACAGTATGGGAACAGGTGTTAGAAGTTCCCTCTAGCTCATCCCAGGGAGTGCGGAGGGAGACACAGAAAGCTGTGATACTCACCGACTTCTGCTTCTGTTTGGCTGAGTCCAGAGATTGCCAAGAGAGGGATTGGGAAGGAGAGAGGGAAGGGGACCCAGGCAAGGGCAGAGGGTGCCGGGACAAGAGAGGGAGAGCGGGCAGACGAGGAGAGATAATAGGGCATGCATGTTAGTGACAGACAGAGCCAGAAAGAGGGGATGGGACCCCATGACATGGGGGAGCCAGAGATGGCCCTGCATCAGGGCTGGCAACAGGACTGACAGTCAGTCCAGAGGACTTGGGAATATGCAGACATATCCTCTCCCCCTTGTAAGTCTTGGAAAAGAGCTGGAGAGGACAATAGCCCCCAACTTGGTATCCATTTCCTGTCCCAGTGCATGCCAACCTGCCCCTTTTAAGGGTTCCCTTGATTGTCTACAAGGGAACCTCTACAGCCAGTGAGGCCCCACCCCCAAGTGCCCACCCATGGAACCAAAAGAGGGCAAAGAAGGAAGGCCCTTCTGCTCCCTACTTTACATGCCAGGGTGGAGCAAACACTGCAAGAGTCCACTGGCAGTGAGGGGAAAGGTCAGGTTTTGTCAGCACCAGACCCTGCCTCCTCAAGATAGGCAGCCTTCCAAGATCAAGAATCAGGCCTTTTGGGGGAGCAGACCAGGGTGGGGCTGTGCCTGAGCTACCCTTCCCTCCACCTCAGCAGGAAGCCCCGACATACACAGAATAGACTTGCACTACATGTGACTCCATTCCAGCCCTCCACCCCCCCACCAGAGAGCTGGGCCCTGATTCTGCCCCCTCTTGCCAGAACCCAGCAAGAATTACCTTCTTAAAGAAGGGGATGCGTTTGCCATGAGGTGGTGGGGTGGTGACACTGCTAACACTAGTCTTGGCAGAGCCACTCTGCTCAGCAAGCTCTGCCTCCTCCTCTTCTAACTCTAGGGGGTCTAGTTCAAAGGCTAAATTAGTCATTTCATTACCTGGACCGGAGAGTCAGGAGAGAGGGAGGAGGGAGGCGAGGTGGGGAGGAGTGAGATGAACGAGGAGACACAGTACAGAACGCAGGGTTGGGGTGGGGAGAAAAGAAAGAAGAAGAGGTGAATGGAACAGGGCTGGGAGAAATGAAGGGGGACAGGGGAACCAGGCAGAGAGATGGAGCTACCAAAGCAAGGGCAGAGGAGTGACATGACAGGCCCAGCCTGTGGGGTATCCTACTCTTCACAGACGGGCACCACCACCACATGTATTTGGATACTCAGGATTGGGGTGCCTCCTACCACTCTGGAAGGAGGGTCAGGCAGTGGGGGAGACCACCCACCCAGGAGCTGCCCTCCAGCCCTCTGGACAGCAACAGCTCTTACCACTGGCAGGGGGTGTGGGGCGGCGTGTGCCAGTCACCACGTCTCCCAGACTGGAACTGGAGTTGTCACCTGATTTGCTGTGTGAACACAGAGGCAAATGGAGCTTGTGAGCAAAGAGGCAGGTGTAGGGGTGGGGGAATCTTGTCCTCTCACATGCTGCAGCCCTGGGAGGTTCTCCAGCCCCATGGGTGGTGCCACAGGCAGCTTGGTGGCCTCAGGGCCAGGGGTCCTCGCCAGACAGTCTCTCTGGGATTGGGAGTGTCCACCCCCAGCCAGACACCTGGAGCTGAGGCGGCTCTGACGCAGCTTCTGTTCCTGCAGCAGGCGCAGGCTATCCAGCTTGACGGGGCTAGGGATGAAGCCGACCTCGCAGCCCTCCTTCACCAGCCGCCCAATCCACCAGTCATTATTGTATTTCTGTGAACACAGCAGGCAGGTGGAGATACCAGTAGGGAAACTGGAGGTGCAGGCCAGCAGTGACCCTCCAGGGGATACCACCCTGGACTTGGAGTCTCTGCCTAGGGGAGGCACCCTCAGCGATCCCTACTGCCAGCTCTAGCCTCTGTGTAGAGCCCCCAGTTCTCAGAGTAACTCAGGACCAGCACCCTCTCTGGTCATGAACCATCCTTCCTCCCCCAGCACATCCCCATTCTGAGAGTGCCCCCTCCATGTGTCTACAAAGGCAGGAGTAGTAAACACTGATACCTATGTACCAGTGGCATACCACCACTCCATTCATCCTCCTGACAGACCCTCCAACAACCTTGTGACTCAAGGACTACCACCCAATTTTACCAACAAAAAGGAGGGGCTCAGAGAGGTGGAGAGATGCGTGTAGGGCCACACAGCATATTCAGCCCAACCTGCTTGGCTCAGAAGCCTCTTTTTCCACTAGAGCTCTCTGGCTGCCCCTCTCCTGCCACCCACTCCCCTGCCCTCCCCTCTTCCCACCTCCTTGATATGCAGGAAGTCCTTGGGCTCAAAGGTGATGGCCACTCCCTGCACAGGCACCTCATCTCCTGGAGATGGATTATAGCCGACATTTGTCCGCACAGCAAATGCTACTGGCTTGGTCTAGAGGAGGTATAAGGGAGAAGATGACAACCAGAAGGTACAACTTCCTGACAGCGGTGGCGATCATGCAGAGGTTTCCTTTGTAAATTGTCCATTAAATTGTATACTGAGGCCAGGAGTGGTAGCTCACGGCTGTAATCCCAGAACTCTGGGAGGCTGCGGTGAGAAGGTCATTTGTACCCAGGAGTTCAAGACCAGCCTGAGCAACAGAAAGAGATCTCAAAAATTAAAAAAATTTTTTTAGACACAGAGTCTCATTCAGTTACCTTCTGGGTAACGGTGGGTCACAGCTCACAGCAACCTCAAACTCTTGGGCTCAGGTAATTCTCTTGCCTCAGCCTCCCAAGTAGCTGGGACTCCAGGTGCCCACCACAACACATGGCTATTTTTAGAGATGGAATCTCACTCTTGCTCAGGCTGGTCTCAAACTCCTGAGCTCAAGCCATCCGCCTGCCTTGGGGTCCCAGAGTGCTAGGATTACAGGTGTGGTCCACCACACATGATCAAAAATAGAAAACTCAAAAAATTTTTTAGCCTATAGTCCCACCTACTCAGGAGGCTGAGGCAGGAGGGCCACTTGAGCTGGGAAGTTCAGGGCTGAAGCAAGCTATTATTGTGCCATTGCACTCTGGCCTGGGTGACAGAGCACGACCCAATCTCTAAAGGAATAAATAAGTATACATATATTTTTTTCTTTTTCTTTTTTTGTGAGACCAAGTCTCACTCTGTTGCCCAGACTAGAGTGCCAGTGGTGTCAGCCTAGATCACAGCAACCTCAAACTCCTGGGCTAAAGGAATCCTCCTGCCTGCTAAGTAGCTGGGTCTATAGGTGCCCACTCACCACAAACCCAGCTAATTTTTCTATTTTTAGGAGAGACAGGGGTCTCACTCTTGTTCAGACTGGTCTGAAACTCCTGAGCTCAAGTGATCCTCCTGCCTTGGCCTCCCAGAGTACTAGGATTATAAATGTGAGCCACTGTGCCCAGCCAATAAATACATTTTTTAAAAATGTATATTGAGGGCAGTGCCTGTGGTTCAGTGGGTAGAGCACCGGCCCCATATACCGAGGGTGGCAAGTATGACCTCAGCCCCAGCCAAACTGCAACAAAAAATAGCTGGGCATTGTGGCGGGTGAATGTAGTCCCAACTACTAGGGAGGCTGAGGAAGAGAATCACCTAAGCCTAGGAGTTGGAGGTTGCTATGAGCTGTGACACCACAGCACTCTACTGAGGGAGATAAAGTGAGACTGTTTCTTAAAAAAAAAAAAGTATATCGACTGGTTTGTATGTATAAGTTTCCTGTTTGTATGTTAATTTCTACAATTTAAAAGAAAAGGAAGCAAAAATAAAATTCAGCCCTCCCAGTGTAGAGGGAGGCATTGGGGAATGGAAGTATTGGAGACAGGGAGTAAGGGGTGCCCAGAATGATACCCAGAAGGAAATAATAACAATGATGACAGTAGTTACCTTTTAGTGTACCAGATACTAAGTTAAATGTTTCATTTGTATTATTTCATTTATTCATCACAAAAATCCTATGAAGTTAAGTGGTATTATTATCCTCATTTTAATGAATGAGACTAAAGTGCAGAAAGTTGTGACTTGCCTAGGTCACACAACTACTAAGTGTCAGAGCTGAGATTCCAGCCCAGGAAGTATGACTCCAGGAAGAAGTAGAACATTTATGAAGCCCTTTTATGTGTGGAAATGGTACCAGGCACTTATCAGACTGTATACAGATGCAGGTACTATAGCCCACATCATGTAGGTGAAGGACAAAGGCACAAAGAGGGCCAGTGCACAGCTAGAAAGCAGTTGGGTCAAGCTTGACCCTGGCTCTTTCCAGGCTCTCTCCAAGGCCTAGGGGTGGGGAAAATAATGCCAGCACAACCCTTTCCACATCTTTTTCACCTTGGCTTTCTCAAGCTGAGCTAACGCCTGGCGCTCTGCCTCCTTCCTTAAGGCTTCCCGGTCCTCCTCCAGAGAAACATCAGAGTCTGATGGACGGCTGGTATAGGACTCTGCTGAGCCCTGAAAAGAGAGAGGGCCAGGTCAGGGCCAGTGCTGCCCTTCCAGCTCTGAGGCCTGAGAAGCCAGGAGGTGCCACCCATAGTGAATCCTTCAAGCCCCAGCCAGCCCTGCATAATGCCACCGGGGCTAAGAGAGGGTAATATTAGGTAGAAGGGGCCAAAAGCTGAGGTTTTCAGGCCGCTGGGAAAAGTATGGCCTTTGGGAGGGTTACAGCAGCAAGCAGGAGGTTAAGGCAGATCTAAGGACAGCTGTTTGGGGCCCAGGGAGGGGTGGGAACCTGATAGGGGCACAACGCAAGGGAGGAGTGCCAGGGGACGAGTCTCCACTCTTGCTCTTCCTTTCCTCCCCTGCCCCCAGCACCCACTGAGATAGACTCAGCAGAGGACCAGCAGCAGTCCTTCCAGGGACTATAGCCACCAGCTTGGGGTTCAACTCTCTGCACAATCAGCAGTGGGCAGCCTGCTTAGCAGTGGACATGAGGGCACCACTACAAATTTTGCTGTCTTCTGTTTAGGGGTGGCGGAAAATAGACTGGCAGAATCAGACCGTCAGAGTCCCAGCCCTCAGGCTCTTGTAAGATCCAAGAGAACCCAATATTCTCGGGATGGTGCTAAGAGGCAAGTTAAGAGCAAAAAATGGGGCCGGCCTTTCCCCAGTACTAGGGCTTCCAGGTGCCAAGGTTAAGTTAGACTCAGATGTCTGGGTGTACATGGCTTTGACCATACTGGCCAACCTGAAGCATGAGGAACTCCATAGGAAGCACACATATGTGTAAGACACATGTAGCCTGTACAAGCCTGGTAGTGGAAATACAAATGTGTGTGCTTGGATGTACAATTGCAAGTGTGTTTAGGTTGTGCTCTGCAGAGGTGCTAGCTATACATGAGTGAGTTTGTATAGCCACACTAACTAGTATATGCAGGGAGCTGCCCTAGGTATCTGTGTTCCTGCAGGTGGGAGGCACATGAGACCAGAAGCCAGGAGGTGTAGACTTGCGTATGACTGTGCTGGGTAGTGTTGGACAAGGGTAGGGAGGTAAAGTGGGGAAGAACAGAACTACAGAGATGTGCAGGGTCTTTCCTGAGGGCAGAAAAAGGTCACTTGGCCAGGAATGTCCATTAGCTTGACATGAAGAGGGCCTGGGAAAGAGAAAAGACCAAGTTCTACCTCTCTTCAGAATCTCCCGGGCATTAGGTTGTGCAGTTGCCCATCCCTTTCCCAGTCAAACTACAAAAATGGGAAGCTCATGGGAAAAGGAGGAGGTAAGGGTGGGGACTTAATAGAGGGTGGGAAAGAAACACAAAAAGGGAGAGTGAAAACCAGCTTAGATTCCATTCTCTACCCTCCTGATGGGGCACTTAGAGTCAAGAGCCAGACTCCCAGAGAACCAGAGAAACTACAATACAGAGAAGCACTTATGACCCCAACACCAACATACTTGCAGACAGACAGACACACATCAGGAATGACAGGAGATGGGAAACAGCGAGGAGGGAAGGAAACAGGCCAGAGCAAAGGCCCCATTCCACCAGATTTCCCAAGGGGCTGCTCTACCCACTGCCACCCCAGCTCTATCCCCAGCTCACCACCACCAGGGTCCGGCTGGGCACCTCCATCTCGACGCCCTCAGTGCCTGGCCCTGCTGGCCTAGAGGGTGGCCCAAACTGAGTTTCCCCAGGGTGCTCAGGTTACAAGCAGAGTTGCTACATGTGCAAACTGCTAGGGTATATTTAGCTCAGAGATGTGGCAAGGACAGCCCCCCACACACTCCCTGCCACACTTCCTGGGGGTCAGAGCTGAGGAGCTAGGAAGAGAAAGAATTAGAGGGTGGGTTCTAATCCCCTGGGTTGGCAAATATTGAAGGAACCAAGACTCTTCCCTGCAAAAATGGGCAACAAAAGCACGGTGTCATTCTTCCTAGCCCTGGCCCAGTCGGCAACAGGAGGAAGAGGGAGCAACTGAAGAAAGGACTTCCTGTCTGTTCACATACTTAAGAAAAGCTAGAATGGAGGAACTCCTTCCTGAACTTCCCAAGTCAGGCCTAAGCTCATGTGTGCCAAGCCACTGTACAGACAGAAGAATCAAAAGAAGGGCCTCAAGTGGCCTTGTACTACCCTCTCTCTCCTGGCCCAAGGTGGGAGGGGGGCTTACCTCCAAGGGGCTTGCTCATCCTCCTGCTCTCCTCTGTCCTGCTATTTCCTCTTTGGTTTACTCCTTTCCCTTATCTGATCCCAGGCCCCTCTTGCCTTTTTTGGGTACCACGCTTTGTTGAGATGCACAGTAGTCATAGAAACCACATGCTGCTCTCATCTCCTTTCCCTGAGCCTAAATGGCCCAGGGTTGAGAGTTAGGAGAGACATGACAGTGGTAGCTTCCTGCCTGAGCACAGGGAACCCCAGAAAGCTATTCCCATCCCACTCTTCCAGTCAGATGTGCTACACTAGAGTCCTCTCTAAAATCGGGGACCTCATGCCTCAACCACATCCCCCACCACCCTTTCTCTCTGTTCATTAAACAGGCATGTCTAGATGTAAAGACCATTTTCCTGACTAACACCTAAAAAGGGGACCCAAATGTCCTCATTCTTCATTTCCTAGGACTTGCCTCTACCCCACCCTGTCACAGATTCTGGGGGAGGACATGGAAGAAGACAGCCGGTAGGGGGAGTGGGTGACAGCCCCAAGCAAGCTAGGAGGCAGGCCAGGCTGTCCCTGAATGAGATGACGCAGGCAGGCAGGCAGGCAGGCAGGCAGGCAGCAGGGGCTGGTGCCTGGTGCTGGAGGAGGGGCTGGGTGTGGGTGGAGGCTGAGGGTGTGGGTGCAGCTGACAGTTCATCCTAGGGAGGTCACAGGGTGTCAGGGTGATTCCAGGCAGGTAACAAATGACAAGAGAAAAGGTGCCAGAAAGCCAGAGACCCAGCTCACCAGTGCTGGCCACCACCAACCAACCACCTCCCTTCTCTTGGCCCAGCCTCCTACTTACCTGGCGGACAAAGCTGTTGGATGTTGTATCTGAGGACGTGCTTCCATCCGACCGTTTGAACCGCCCTTTTCTCTTGCTGTATTTGCCCTGGTGAAGCCAGGAAGAAACAAGAATGGAATCAGAAAGGACTTTTCCCAATCTTCATCCTACCAGCCCCAGAGCTACAGCCAAGCCTGGGGAGTATCATTCCCTGAGCAGAACAGCCCCACCTCCACACCCTGCAGCTCTCTGGAGGTATAGCCCAAGTGGAGGGAGGGTCTCTCATCTTCCCGGAAAGGGCCCAGATCACAGTCAGAAGAGGGGGGAGCCCTAGGAGGCCTACACAGAAACCCCCAAACCAAGCCAGAAAGGCTGAGAAGGGGGAGGCACTGAGAAGCAGGAGGGAGGCTCGTTAGGCAGCAAAGCTAATTAAGATGCTGGGCAGGCTGCAGAGGCCTCCAAGGAAGGGAGAGGCTGCCTGCAGTGCTGGGGGGGTGGAGAGAGCTGGGAAAGTCCCCTCCTCCCCTCAGCGGGAGCAGGGGGTGCTGAATGTGCCCCAGGCCCCCAGGGAGAAGGAATTGGAAACCCAAGGCCCCACTTGGCTCCCCTCAGTCTAACTCTTCCCTTTTCTTTTCAGGGTAGGGAGGAGGTAGCAGCTCTGAGCTTTTAGAGACCCAAGGCTAGCTTTCTGGGGAGAGAATAGGGGCATGAAACTGTATTTGGAAAGCAAATAGCCAACCCCAATCCTAGTCCCCTCAAGGGTCCAATTCTGCTCCCTACCCTCACCTATGCCCTCGCAGGACTTCTACTCAGCCCCCCTCCTCACAATCACAGTGGCCACACCCCTCCCTAAAAGGGCAAAGGGATAGAGCCTTCACTCTTTTTTTTTTTATCTGCATACAGTAGAGCCTTCTCTCTTTACCCTCAGCTGCCACAGCTCCTACCTGTCCCCACAGTACCCATCAAGCAATGTCAATCTAAAAGTCCCTTGGCCCCTCCCCACACCCAGCCTAGGACACAGCCCCACAGGTCCCTGGAGGGTAGGCTGGCTCAGGCTCACTGCTAGGGCTCCCGGCTTGGGTGGAGTGGATACTGTCCAACCCCTCAGGCAGCCACACATTCAGGTTAACAGCTTCAGGCATTTCCAGGCCTCCTGTAAAAAGGAGTTTCTTCTTGCCTTCCCCAACTGCCAAACACATACTTGGCCCCAGCCTGCTCCAAAATGAGAGTGATTGAGGGTTCAGACCTCCAAGTCCCTGTGCCCTCCCCCGCCCCGCCTCCATCCTAGACTTTCTTTGGTCAAAGAATCTAGGTAAGCTATGACCACCCTGGGGGCTCTGGCTCTTGGGACCTGAGGAGAGGATGGAAAATGGAAGAGAAGGGCACCTGGGGACCCTCCAAGGATCTTCTTTCCCCTCTCTGTTCTCTCCAACTAGACATAAACCCAAACTCTAGTTTGGAAGCTCTCTACAAACCTAGGAGGATCCCCCAGTAAGCCCCAGACTCACACTGCCACACACACACACCCTCAGGCTGGGCAAAGGGAGTGGCACTTAGAGGGACAGGGGACAGCTGAAAGGAAGCCCCAGTCAGCTGCCTCCAGGCTCCAAGGGGCCTGGGGTGGAAAAGGGAGGTATTTTTAGGTCTGACCTGACACTCTACACACCCATGGACCACATTGTCATGGTGGTTACAGTTGCTCCAACCTGGCTATAGCAATAGAAGAGTTAATGATACCCTTGGAGAAGGACAGTCCCAAAGAAATACCCTGGTCACAACCATTCCATACCAGCTGGTTACCCCATAGGACCCCACCAAGCCCAAGAATGTCCCTTCATATGGGGTAACCTAGGGACGTAGGAAAAGTGTGAGTGGGGGTGGGGCGGCAACCCCCCCTCCCCTCTGGTAAAACAGCTTTCTCCCCTCTGGACAGTGAGTTGGCATCCATCCAACTTTCCAAACTTTGGAGGCGTTTTCGAGAAGGCAGGGGATGGGAGGGAGCCGGGGTAAGCCAACGTGGGTGTGGAAGGAGGAAACAGGTCCAAAACAGGGATGGAGCCGAGTAGGCTTGAGAAGGGGGCCCAGGCCAGGGCTAGCCCTTTCCCACCCTCGATAGCTAGCGTTAGCAGCCTCCAAAGCCTGTCGGCACCGCCCTCTGACCATCGCTTCGGCCATCTCCCAGTGCCACCCCCGCCCCACCCACACCCGCCCAGCGCCCCCAAGCGTGTTCTGCGTGGCCCCTCTTGCCTGGCTCGCTTTCTAGCCTCCCTCACCCTCTTCTTCTCAAGGCCCGGATCCCCCTCACGTAAGCCCACAGGAACCAGTATCCAAACAGCAGGGACCCTGATGCCGGGGAGACGACCAGGTGGGGGTGACAGGCAGCCCACCCGCCCCCTCCCCGCTCCGCAACACCGCAGCGCAACTCAGGGCCAAGCACCCATCAATCATTAACCCGCGAGAATGGGGGAAGCGCAGGCACTCGTCTCCCCTCCGCGCCGGGCATATAACCTCTTCCTCCCCGGGGCCTCTCTAGCCGACCCCAACAAGATCTGCGTTCAGCCCCCTTCCCTCGGACCCAGCCACGACGCCTCACCTGTGGGCTGGGGTCGAAGACCTCCATGGGGATTTCTTGGGAGGGTGGGTAAGGGCCCCGGGACATGCTGGTCTTCTGGACCATGGAGAGGAGCCTCCCCTCCGGCCGCCGGCCCGGCCCAGCCGGACGCCCTCAGCGCATGGGAGAGGCCGTCGGATCCGAGAACAGCGTAGCGCAGCCAGTACCTGATCCAGCCACACAGCCCCGCGTTCT